TATAAGTTTTAGAGATAAAAAGTACGAAAAGTTGTTTGATTTAGTTTTTTTCAAAAGATATTTTGAAAAATTATTTTGAAATAAAGTTTTAAAAAAAGTGATTGATTTTATGTGTATGAGAGAGATTTATTTGAAAAATTTATAAACTAAACAAGTTTTGAAAAAATTTATTTAATTTAATTACTTTTAAAAACTTATTTATAAATTTTTTTTTCTAAAATTAGTTGAGAAACACACCAAACAATTGATCTATCGAATCTATAAAAAAAACTCGGCTTTCTTAAAGAAACACAAAGATTTCGTTTTGTTTGGTTTGTATTTGAGAAATATATTTTGAGATAAAAAGTGTAAAAGTTTGTTTGGTTTGACTTTTTTTCAAAAAATATTTTAAAAAAATATTTTGAAAAAGAATTTTAAAAAAATGATTGATTTAATACGTATGAAAAAGAGATTTATTTGAAAAATTTATAAACTAAACAAGTTTTGAAAAAATTTATTTAATTTAATTACTTTTAAAAACTTATTTATAAATTTTTTTTTCTAAAATTAGTTGAGAAACACACCAAACAATTGATCTATCGAATCTATAAAAAAAAAAACTTGGCTTTCTTGGAGAAACACAAAGACTACTAACACTACATCATAGTCTCATAGACCGTGAGTGAGTGCTAAGAAGACGTGTGAAATCCCCAAAAATAAAGCTTTGTTTCTTCTTATTGTTGCTCGTATTTTCCTGGTACAATCGGTGGAGAATGGAGGAGCAGCAGAAGAAGAAGAAAGACGTGATTCGATTGGAGCGGGAGTCCGTAATTCCAATTCTGAAGCCGAAACTCATCATGACGTTGGCCAATCTCATTGGTATGGTCTTTCCTTTTCTTCTTACTATTTGCAGATTCCCTTTCATTTTGCCTTAATCGTTTTCTAAAATCCCAATTTCCATTCATTTCCCTAAACCCCCTTTCTCTCCACAAATTCACGATTCAAACACTATTTATCAAAGTTTTTACATCTTACTTACTGCTAATGCTACACTCTAATCTGATTTTGCCTTGGTATTGAACCCACACTGAATTTCTCATGAACTGAAATGGGCAGTAAGTATTAACAAGATAGCTTATGTTTTTCTAACGAATTTTGGGTTTGACATTGATTCCACACCATTTTTTTTGGGCAACCTGCAACGTAATGCGGGCTTAAAAGCATTTCTATTCTTTCTTTCCCTCTAATAATAAAAAGAAAAAAAAAAGATCATGAATAAAATGGAAAAATGTGTCCATTTGCCTAAATAAATAGACTCTCTTGTTGGATTATGACAGTGGTTTATTTGCTTAGTTCCCAATTGTGATTTCTGACCAAGTTCTGAAAGGACCTAAATGCTTTGTCTTTGGCTTTTGATTCCCCCAGAACACAGTTCTGACCGGGCTGAATTTCTAAAGCTTTGCAAGAGAGTTGAATACACAATTCGTGCTTGGTATCTTCTGCAATTTGAAGATCTGATGGTATTATCATCTATCACTTGTGTATCAAAATGAAGACTTTCCAACACCTCCTCAGGCATTTTTAGTCTGATGATGTTGTTATTTTTTGTTTCACATTTCCATTCAATACCTATTGTGCTTGCAGCAATTGTTCTCCCTCTTTGATCCTGTCCACGGGACTGAGAAATTGGAGCAGCAGAACCTAACTTCGGATGAAATTGACATTCTTGAGCAGAATTTCCTGACTTATTTATTTCAGGTATCATGGCTTCTGCATCTTAATTAACAGGTTTGATGTCCTGAAATTTCCATTGGGGGTCCTCTACAGTCTACATACATGCGTACATTGTTTGTTTAAAATTTGGTCCTTGAATATATTTATACACAGCTACAATTATCCCAATTGCAAGTACAAGTTCATTTTAATACACACAAAAAGAACTACAAGTTCCCTTCCTTCCCTAGAACATGCATGTATGAGGCAATATAGATGTTATAGCATCAAGTGTGTGTATTCCTGACTTAGAATCACTAAAATAACTGTTTCAAGTTTTGAGTCCATTTGTGCTAGTTTGACTATCAGCTGTAGTTTATCAAGGCAGCACTGTTGTTGGTTTTTTAGCTGCAGTTACATATTTAATTTTATTTATTTATTTATGATTATCTGCTGTAAAATTGTGATTCCTTGGCTTTGCCAGGTATCATGAAAGCATCCTTTGTATTTATACTTTATCTTCTTCCTTGATAGCTTGTACCTATTACGGTACTCTGAAAAGGATGTAAGTTTCAAAATGTATATTAAGGAAACAGAGGATACACACAATGTATTTTGCGGGTCTGCAATATGCATTATATTAATAATTTCGTAAAGAACTATAATTCAATCTATTAGAGGCTCCAGGGAGTGTACACTGCTGTGTTTTCACATTGCTTCCTGGTTGTTGACAACTGTTTTTGGCAATAGTACAAGCAGTAACAGATGCAGCACAATGGGAAATTCCATGTCAGAACTTTATAGACCTACTTGTAACCCAACTATTGATTTCTAAATATAATAATTGAATTTCTCATTTTCTTTCTAGCTGGAGGGGAGCCTATTTTTTCTTCATATTTGGAATTTATTTCTTTGACTTGTTTTATTTTTTATTGGACAGATTTGGACTAAATGTTTCCCAAATTTTATTATTGTATTTTTCTAATTATCATGCAGGTAATGGATAAGAGCAATTTCAAGATAGCCACTGATGATGAGATCGAAGTTGCACATTCAGGGCAGTATCTTCTAAATCTTCCTATAACAGTTGATGAATCTAAGGTTTGTAATAGCTTGTGTGTTTAAAGTGAAAATGGACATATGAGTTCTTTGGATATGCTTGTTTGCGCGCGCGCGCACACACACACATATTAATGTCTAATATCAATTCTGTTTTTTTGAATGTAGCTTGACAAGAAGCTTTTGACGAGGTATTTTGTAGAGCATCCTTGTGAAGATCTTCCGGACTTCGCTGATAAGGTATTGATATATATGTAGCTTCCCTTGTAGATTCTGGTGTTGCTTCGCTGTTATTGAGTTGTAGGTGGCTTTGGATCCCTCTCAATTATTGTTATAGGAGATAAAGGAGAATTCTCCCACTCTGATGGAGCCCTGAAACCTGAGGCTTTGTTGAAGATCAGCTAGATGCAATTACAAACGAAATCATTCAAATATTTCCTTTAGCTGAGTAGAAAATAAATTCATCATCTTTTCAATCACTAATCAACTTGTACCCCATCATTGTATTATTGTATGTGAAGGACCACGTTTTGAGGAGTCTATAGCGCTATTAAGTAGTAAAAATTTCCTTCCATTGTATCTGTCATTCTGTTCTCTCTCTCTCCCTCCACCCCCCCTTGAGAAAAATGATACATAACAATGTTAGACTTAGGATTAGATTCATTTTTTCTTGGTGCTTTTCCAATCCAGTGGATGTTTTCCTTGATTAAATTTTGTGTGCTCATTACATTATGGAGAATATCATTAAGAAGGTAATTTTGTAAATGTTTTTGTAGTATCACAGGTTAATTAGGATATATAATTTGATGTTTTTGTAGTGTTACAAGTTTTTTTTTTTTTTTGAAACATCAACAATAAATTTTATTAAGAAAAGCAATAGAAAAGAGATGATATATGTAGTGTTACAAGTTAATTAGGATATATAATTTGATTAGTGTTTCTAATGACCGAGAGTTATCTTTAGTTTCCAGTTAGCAAAAAAACGAGAGATAATTTAACCATCTTAATTATCTTAGAATATGATTCCCTTTACAAAAAAAATAAAAAAATCTTAGAATACGAGGTTATTTTATTTTCCAGTTAAAACTTCGGAATCTCAATTGTTGAATGATGTTACACATACTTTGGCAATATGACTCAACAAGCTTATGATGATGGCTTGTATCTGATTTTAATAAATTTGACATTAGTCATATGGTTGTGATAGAATGGCAGAGCAGATGTGTGTTGGCAGCATTGCTAACCCTTAATAAAAGTGTTTGTTTTGTATTGAGAAATATAATAAATGGTAAGTTTGTCATTTTTTTTTTTTGTAGTACGTAATATTCCGCCGTGGCATTGGAATTGATCGGACAACTAACTACTTCTTCATGGAGAAAGTGGACATGCTCATTGCACGCTTGTGGGCATCGCTTTTGAGAAAGACTAGGTGAGTTAACAGCTGGGACACATCAGCAGTATTTGGCCATTATCTTGACCCTTGTGCAAGTAACTTTCACATGTTTAACTGTGATCAGATGTCAGAGAGTACAGGGCTGTCTGTAAATGCCCTTGAATGTACCTCATCTTGTTTGAATAAGCTGCCATGCCCTTTTTTTTTTAATTTTTTTTATTTCCTGGGGTTGTAATGCTTGCAGGCTAGAAAGAGTTTTGTCCAGTAAGTCAAATGCACGGCGCAAGAAAGATCCGAAAAAAGATGATGAATTTATTTCTGAGACAGAGCAGGATGACTTATACGTGGAACGGATCCGTCTTCAAAACATGGAACTCAGGTAACTCAGGTTTTGAATATCATCATCTTGGTCTTGCAGTTTGATAGCTGACAGTCTTTGCTTTGGGGCATTTGCTTTCCAGTCTAAACAATATAAAAGATTCTTTCCCCCACCGTTCTCTTTGGGCTTCTAAAATGCATTATTCGAAGTTGTTTATGAAATAAATGAAACTCAAACACATTGTAACGCTCTCAAAATCATACAATAAATATAACCCAAAGCATAAATAATAATCTCATAATTTAGTATAAATAGTCCTTTCATTACATGAAGTTAATGATACAAAAGTGTTTAACGTAGATAAATGTCCTATCGGCTTACACCTTTTTAAGCCTTGACTTGGTTACAACAAAATGAGCTTCGCTCAATTACATTTTAAGCCCTTGGCTTTACAAAAGAAATAATAGAAAGAGAAGCTCTTGCTTCCAATAGTCCCTCCAAGCTATTGCCTTGGCGGAGGCATGTCACCAACACCTGGAAAGTTATTTCCCAAGTAGGGTGAGCTACAGTCCAGTATGAATCATCTAATACAGTATACGAAATTTAGCAAAGGTATAAATACAAGGAGTGTATACAATGTCTAGTAAAACATCCACGATTTATATACTCAAAAGTAATCAAATTTTACATCATAATCCAGTTTTCTCCAATTCACTTCCAATTCATTTACTTATCTCAATTCATGAGTCAATTTCATAGTTTCTTTAACAATCCAAATGAAACTACAACTCAATGGTTCAATGATCACATCATCAACATACAAACACTTCAAACTGTCCTTTCACGGATATTTTGCTCGCGGGAAACCGTCAAACGGGACTTATGTAAACGTAGGCTATACAAGTACTACCATTGCCATTTTACGAATATTTCGTCGGCGAGATTGGCACCCATGTATAATTTCGGGACTTTCACACAGGACACTCCGGTCAACTTAATTATAATGGAGTCCATCCCCTTTCTCCTCCTAAACAATCATTCATACATATGTAATGTATTTAAACACATAATCATATATGGAGCACATCCCCTTTCTACTCTCAAATAATCATACATATACAATGTATATAAGTATAGTCATATTTAATGACAATCACAAGCGATTAGTTTCAATTTACTTAATCCTCATGCAATTTCTATAACAATCATGGTTATCCTCCACCGATTGCACAATACAAATATTTCTAAACAGATATTTAATCTCATGACAGATAATCTATTCAAAATTTTCAAAGATTGAGATAATACATAACCAATCTCACCATTCATACTAATACCCTTCCAATCTTACATTTTCATTTTTAACTTCAACTATTTATATAAAATAATAGCTTGATCTATTTAGGGCAGACTCTCCCCTCTTTCCCAAACATTAACCAAGTGCCAAAAAATCATCAAATTAGACACAACACAACATCATTTTCATACCCCACGATCATTTTCATCTTATTCACCAAAACCCCTCTTTCCATTTTATACCCAAACCCTAGGTTTATTCAAAACTTTTCCAAATCACACCATTGTTACACAAATGACAAATATTTAAGCTAAATAACATATGAAGGTGTAGAAAAATCCCTATTTCAAAGGAAGAAGATGAGCCACGCAAGAGAGAAACTCCAAGAACACTGAAACTCACTTCTATTTAGATCAAAATGTAGACCTTGATGCACTTTACCTTTTTCTTAAAGGCACTAGGGTAAAGAGATCGACGGATCTAGATGAAATCTAAGAGAGAAGGTGAGTTTGAGAGAGAGAGGCTCAAGAACAAGGTTTTTGGAAAGTTTTAGAGAGAGAAATGAAAAAGTGATTCAAAATATCTTCTCGGACTGTTATACATGCAGTCTGCTCCAACGTGGAAAGTGACGCTCGAGTGTCAGACCCAAAGTTCCGCTCGAGTGTGGAATGCACACTTCCAGAAGTTCTGCAGACGAAAGTTCCCGCTTGAGCATGAGAATGGAGGCTCGAGTGTCCAATGCATTTTCCTAGTATTTGCAGATCTACAAAAATATTAAGAATTGACAAGTCCTGCTCGAGCTCAAGAATGGTCGCTCGAGCGGAGGAGCAAATTTGTGATGCCCGCTCGAGTGGAAGAGTCAAAAGTCTGGGCAACACAGGTTTTGGAATACAAACAACCAACCTATTCCAAACGCATAATCACAACCTGATAACCAAAATAAGGGGAAGACAAAGGAATCAAGATATGAATAACCATTCTAAACTATACTAGCCTAAGTCTGGAATACAATAGATAACGAGTTAAAACCGGAATCGCTATAACCTTCTCCCTTTAAGAAATTTCGTCCGTGAAATTACAAATCAAGTTCAAATCTACAATAGACCATTTACTACAATGTTATTCCCACAAATTCAATAACACGACCCATCCTCTGGTCATCCATCCTCATTGACTCGATACACAAGTCCCACATGGAAATTACATTTTTTTACAATTTCCCAAACATTTGTAATGTTTAAATCAAAATCCAAATTCTCAAAATTTTATATAGCACATACAATGCTTCCAAAAGTGACATAATACATATGATATTCCACATTCTCAAACATATACAATGTTTATAATAACTCATATTTTCAAAATGTAAACAACATATACAATGTCTCCACATTCTATCAATCATAATTGCAATCCAATACATGTTTAAACATTAACAAATAAATCCAGATACTTGTCTCGGACTTCTGGTTCACGCTCCCAAGTTGCTTCCTCAACCCCGTGATGTTTTCACAATACCTTTACTAAGAGAATTGTCTTGCCTCGCAAGACTTGGTCCTGTCTATCCAAGACCCTCCCTGGTCTCTCTTCACACGAGGCATCCTCATCTACTTCAAAGTCGGTCCAATCCAATACATGCGATGGATTCGGCTTATACTTTCGAAGCATACTAATATGAAACATGTCATGAACCCCGAAAAGTTGTGCGGCAATGCCAAATGATAGACAACCTCCCCAATCCGCTCTAGGATCTGAAAAGGGCCAATAAATCGAGGGGATAATTTCTCACTCTTCCCAAACCTCATCAGGCCTCGCCTAGGTGATATTTTCAAGAAAACATGATCACCC